AGTATGCCAATGGTAGCAATATTAGTGCATTAATTGAAAAATATTCTTTAGTTATTTATTTTCCTGCAGAAATATAGCATGGCTATCAATCATATGGCTTCAAGGGCTGGATCTGGCCCAAGGACAGATATTCAAGGCCCTGCTGTCCAGGACTGACACCCTCCCCCACCCCCAGCATGCTGGATCTAGCACCTGGTCCAGCCAGTCTGGGACTAAGCTGCATGCAGCAGCTTCTCTGGCTGGTGTCTGGTACAGGCATCATGTGGCACCCTCTCCAGTCAGTCTGGGGTGGGTGTCACATGTAGCACAGGTCCCAGACCAGCCAGAGGGGGGCACTGGATCTAGCATGTGGAAGGGGAGGACAGACTTTGTGCATGCCACGTGCCAGATCCAGCACCTGCTCCCACCAGTCCAGTACCCATGCTGCACGTGGCGTCCACCCCAGACCAGCTGGAGTGAGAGTCACATGCATCTCACTTCCTCATTCAGCCATGTGAGCAAATGAAAAAAAGTTGAAAACCAGTGATCTAGTCTGTAGTTCTTTAGCTTGTTAATGAGAATGTTGTGGGAGATGCTGTCAAAAGCCTTGCTAAAAGGTATATCACGTCCACTACTCTCCCCCTATCCACATGCTTGACCAACCTGATGACCATCTCTTCTAGGTGCTATACAGTAGACTTTATGATCTTTCCAGGTATCTAGGTGAGGCTGATTTGCCTGTAATCCTCCTTCTCTTTCATAAAGATTGGCACTATATTTGTGTTTTTCCAATAATCTGGGACATCCCCCAGCCTCCACAAGTTCTCAGAGAAGATAGCCAATGGCTCTGAAATTACCTTAAGTAATTTTGTACATAGGGCCCATCCTACCCCGGCCCTGCTGCCTTGAATGCATCTAACTTCTCTAAGTTGTACCTGATCTGGTCTTCTACTACTGTAGGCTGTTTGTCTCCTTCCCTTTCTTGGCTGACAACTGCACTCATCATCTGATAGCTGCCCCTATTTGTGAAGACTAAAATAAAATGAATTAAACACTTCAGCCTTCCCTGCATCATCCATAACTAGATTGCATTCCGTAAGGAGCCAATGGTTTCACTGGTCTTCCTCTACTTTGGACGTACTTGCAGAATCCCTTTGTATTGCCTTTCATGCCCCTTTCAAGCTGCACATTACATAATGTCTTGGACATCCTAATTTTCTCCTTGCATGTTCATTCAATGCTTTTATATCCTTCCCTAGTACTACAATAAGCCCCTGTGCCTCCCTTCAGCCTTCTCCTTTCTAAACTGAGGAGCCCTACTCTCTCCTGGTATGGCAACTGCTCCATATCACTGCTGTTTTTGATTGGTCTTCTCTCTGATTTTTCCAATTTGACTACATCCTTTTTCAGATGTGGAGACCAAAACTGCCCACAGTATGCAAGATATGGATGCCCCATGGATTCATATCATGGTGTGATGTTGTTCTCAGTTTTGTTTTCAATTCCTTTCTTGAGGATGCCCTACATTTTACTGACTTTTTTGGTTGCCACTACATATTGACTGTACAGTGACTATTAGGGAAGCTTTGCAGGAAACAGCAACAAAACAACCTAAGTTTCAAAAAAGGGAAGGAGGAATGTTGTTTAGTTTTTAAAACATTTTTCTAAGAGGCTCTGAAGCTACAGAAGAAACCTTGAGAAAAATTCAGAAACTTCCCAAAAGCAAAAATGCAACATTTTGATTAAAATATTCATTTTTCCTACAAAAAAGGTTTTGAAGTTTGGGCTAAAATGCAAAAACCTAATATACCTAATACAACCTTAACTGTGAGGCAATCACAGATTCCAGAATCACAGTCTCATCTAGGAAAGGATGTTGAGAGTTGTGGGGTTTAATTCAGATATAAAGTACAAACCAGCACCAAGCGTGTCAGAAAAGATAAGATTTCTCTTCTACAAAAATTCCCTGTAAAGATTCTGCTTTTGACAGCCACCGAGTCCCCAGTGTCATTTATAGGTGTAATGATTAGCAAGACAATTCCGAGTCAAAATGAGGGAAGGAACGACAGCGAGAGAAAATTTGAGCATGTTTTAGCCACCAGCAACTTAGTCTGAGATGGAAAGAGAGAGAACAGAACAGCTATTAACTTGAGACTAGCCTTCACTGAGACTGTTGTTACAAACTTCAAAGTACAGCTGCATTTAATGAGTTTGGGAAAAAACAGACATCGTACAAACTGAAGAAAGGAGGATTTTCATCCAATTAGCTGAGTTGGCCACCAGACTCCAATGAACCTAAACACTCTTCCAGCTTTTATGACTAGGTCTAATTATAAATCTAGTTCTCTTGTGTGCATGCTCCCCAACCAAATTGTTAAGAAATATTTGTCCTGTCAAAATTATGTGCTGTGCACACTGATTTGATTAGTACAGATAGCATATTTGCCAGAGGCAGGACTGGAAGCAACAAGACCCAACAAAAAGCCAAGCAGTCATTCTGCTGTCAAACATCCAAATGGTTTCTCTGGCAAAGTTTCTCCAAATCAGGTTTCTGTTGTTAAAAGGTTCAGATAGCAGCAAGATCTAAGGAACCAATACAGTGTCCATAAAGTTACAGCAGGAAAATGTAAGAGATCTTGATTTCCCTTTAACCCAAGCACTATTTACTGAGTTATCTTAGCCAAAGTGTGACTAGGATTCATGAGCTGTGCTCTTCAAAAGGGTATTTAAGAGTCAGGCATAAACTGATAAAAGTGGATTGTATTGCTGACATTTAAAGCAACTGAGGCATCTTCAACAGCACCCAGACAGTTGCCTAAACCAGGGGTGGCCAACCTGTGGCATAAGTGCCACAAATGTATGTGGCACATGGCAAATCAGGAAGGGGCCAGGCTGCATAGCAGCAGATAGGGCAGAAAGCAGAGCAGTAGATCAGGCAGAGGAAGGGGATTTCCAGGGCTAATTTGTGGCGTGCCTTCCAAAGGTTGGCAACCCCGACCTAAAGGGAAACCAGGAAAATTTTTACCCTGCCTTAACCCTAATGCTAAACTCAGTCCTTAACTTGCCTACATTAGACAAAGGGCAGTTGCAGTACGACTTAACAGCATTGTCCTGCCTCCATGGCTGAATGGGTTCATTCAGAGAGCTCCTGTGAGCACACCTCATCAAGTCAGACAACTTACAAGGGGCAAACCAACCCAACAAAACCTTATGTAAAGGATGAAGACATGACAGAGCATGTGCTTGTTTTGAGACAAATGCGTGCCCTGAGTGCATAGTAAAATGAGTCCAGTGGTGGAAACAAGTTCATACCCTGGAGTCTTATTTCATCTAGGAAGTGACATAAGTAACTTAGTTTGAATAGGGGCTTCTTACCACTACCGGCTAAATGCAATGATTTCTATTAGCTGAAGTCCCAGGTCCTCTCCTGGCTGATAAGCTGTGGTGGATGGTCATTACATTGGTAGAAAGAGCAGCCTGGTTTCCCTTTCTACAGAAGAAGGGGGTGCCGCTAAGCTCAGCGAGAGAAACCAGGGTAAAAATGCATTGAGAGCATGCAGGGAGTTTGAGACTGCACATGGGATGGCTGTAGACTGACAAAGAGAGCTGAAACATTATTCGAAATAGTAAGAAACAGAGGACAGAGGGATTGTGTATGGATCCATTCACCCTGCATAAAAGTATTTTTCTAAATAATATATTTACTTTATACGCCAACAAGCCCAGAATTATTTCAAGCAACAGATTGAAGAATTTAAAATACTCTCAAACTTCAGATGGCCGGGACCTACGCCTATCTGCAGGCTAATAAAGCAAACAAACAGATTTCTGGACATTGTATGCAGATCTCACAAATGTATACATTAGATTTAAAGCATCAAACAACGAATGAAAGCAATGGTGTCTGATTAAAAGAAAGAGCTATTCACAATGCCATCAGCTCTCCACAACCAGCTGAACGGCTGCATTGTGCTTGCGTGAAAAATTATCCAGCAGCTTTGTCCCAAATGGTAAAAAACAAATCAGTTTTGCTTAGTGAATGTGGGAGCCAAAGTTTCCCATTGTGAAGTTTACAATAGCAGCTCAAATCACTTTGACAGGGGTGGGGGGTAGGGGTGGCTCTGACCCACTTTTCTAGGTTGTGAAGCAGTTTGGCCATGGCCGGGTGAGAGAGACACCATTGTTTACAGCAGAGAGTCTCTCCACTAATTTTCCTTTCATGCTTGCCTGCCACCGCTTTGTTTAAATAATCCATGGCTGTTATCACAGCCTCAGGAATAAGATTCATGGGCTTAATGACCACTTGCCCATTTCTGACACCTGTTCGGCTGGCAGTGTCCTCAACAGCAAGGCTCATCCTGCAGTCCAAGAAGAAAATTTGCCTCAAGAGACATTCCTCTGCCTTTCCTCTTACCTTCATTTTGCAAGGGGAGGTTGTTTTTCCCTGGTTCTTTTGCTGAAGTTTCTCAGCTTCTGAGAAATTTAGTGAAGGGCAGACTCGCCGTTTCAGTTAAAACCAGGTTCTGAACATGCATTAAGTGAGAAAACATTTCATTTTTTGCAAGCATTATGAAAGGCATTCTTCCAGCTCTCACCATTAATCATGTTTCACTTCTGTTGTGAATAGACTGCATATTATTATGCATAAGGTTCATGCGTCTCTTCTCTGATGTCGATCCCCCTCACTAAACTGTCAGCTCCTGGCTGACTGTCAAGCGGCCGCAAAATATGACATTAGCTCTGCTTTTACTACTTCCTGAAAAGTTGTTCAAGTGCTCAAAAATGACAGAAACAAAAATCACCAGACCCCAAGATGAGAGACATAAAGACTTCTAAAAAGTAAAACTGACAGTTTAAGGGGGAAAAATATTAAAGGGAAAGGGAAAGAGCAACAAAGTTCATGTTGCAGGTTCAGCGCTCTAATAGTAAATAATAGAGCCAGTTAAAATGATACATTTTTCCTCCAATCTTTCAGAACATTTTCATTAGAATATTATTTTTATACAATGTGAAATGAAAAATGTTTGGTTGTTTTCCGTTTTCACCTCACGCAGCTCCTGGCACTGGAAAAAAAGACGACAACCATGAAAACAGTAAGTCCAACTTGTTTTTAAACCCAACTAATAGTGTTTGCTTAAAAAAATTAACATCCCCACCCTCCCTCCAACACCCACAAAAAAAAGTTTTATGCAACCTCTTTGTAGGACTTGAAACCTCATTTCTGTTGATCAAATTTTGCTTTAAAATAAAAATTGCCTGTCTAAAAAGTATTTCAGACTGTGAAATGGTGAGAGACAGACCAGTTGTTACAATGCTAATTTAGGACGGAGGAAACAGGTTCAGTTCTGTACTTTGCCACAAACTTGTGAACATCGCATGAGTTCTTGAGCGCCTTAGTCCCCACATGGGAAATATCACTTGTGTACCACACAGGGGCATTGTACACAGGGTTTGAATGACACTTTGACTCTTGGGGAAGGGCGGGGGGGGTCAAGACAATCTCGATCTTTGATTTCATTGATTAGCAAGTCCACCTAAGCGAAGGAGCAATGCGATCAGAGACCCTCCCAGGTTGTGATTTTCAAATCGTACAGAGGGGCTCTCGTCTCTTATGGGGGGGGCTCATCCCCCTCCCTCCTAGCTTCCCTGTAGTTTAAACCCTGATTGTACAGACTATGGTGATAGAGGCCATAACATTGTCCACAGCTGCTATACCCTAGACAGGTTGCCCTGGAGAACGATGGGCTGTATCTAATGAACGTGATGCTGGACAAAGCACAGGATTACCATGATCATTTCCAGGATATTCCAAACTGGTAGCAGGCTGATCCTCCTGTGACAAGTGGTACGGGGTCTTTAATGATCAAAGAAAGTGAGGACCTCGTTTTTATGTCTCCTCATCTGAAAGACGGCCGTTCGAGCAGCAGGGTGACTCCTAGCGCTGGGCAGTTGCTGGGCACAGCCTGGGAGGAGAGCCACCTCCTGAGCCAGCGCTACCACTTCTACAAGCACTTGACTTTTTCTGTAAAAGCCTGAGTGGGAACTGGCCTCAGCCCAGCCACTAACGGACTGCACAATTCACGCCCCGGTGGGGTACGGCTGTGTCGCTGGGAGGAAGCACCTCCATAGTTGTCCGACTGAGGTTGAAAATCTGTTTCCAAAGAGAAAAGGAGCCGCACTGAAAGTTCCCGTGTAACACAGCCTAGCATTTGAGCTTTCCAAATAAATCGCTGTGGATCCCCTTGGGTGCATCTGCCCCGTCCTACAAGGAAGGCTCCCATCCTTCTTAAAGCAGGGACCGAGCTAGGCGTGGGGGAGCAGGGACGCTTGGTTTGCGGGCAGCCTTCCTACGGCGATTCAGTCTCAGCATGTGCATGTGCTCGGGGATTGACGACAGCCTGGTCGTGTCAAGCAGCAGTTTATCACCAGGTATCTTGAGTGGAAGGAAGGCAAGCGCAAGGGAGGAAGGGGGACTCAGAGCTCAGAGAAAAGTGAAACAGATGATTAAGGGAAAAAAGATGGCAGATGAAACTAAAAATAGCCCTTTTGGCAGTTGTAAAGGAAATTCGTTTGACAGGGGGCTGTTTCTTTCATCGAGAGTGGTTTGTTGTGTAACAGATGATACTGGCACCAGCTCTCCTTATCTGTGCTGTCAGTTTAACTGACAAAAAGGATCTTGCTTTAGCATTGCAGGAGTTATAATGAGCTTTAAACATGTGTTTGTTTTCAAGGAGGCTTATTTCAAAGAACCGCCTCACGACTGAAGGGGCGAGAGAGCTCAGCACATGCTCTGTCAAAACAATTTATTCCACAAGTATTTCTTCAACTTCTGGATCTTTATCAAGTAGGCTAGAGGAGGTTAAACCTCCTGTTTTCTGTCCCCTCTGCCTCGGCCCACCTCACACTTGCCCAAGGAAGACCTTTAACTCTATGCTGCACAGCACAGCATCTGGCAAAGTAGGCTGTCACCTCCGAAAGCTCACGCCTTTCTGAACAAGATTGTCTCTGATGCCACCCTCCCCTCCCTTGTGCTGTACAACAGAAAACTCGATGCCCACAAGTTTTTCAGTGCACACACAGAAGGAAACTCCTCTGCCCACTATAGTCTGCTTTTCACCCCTTGGGAAGCTTATATGAAACATAGAGAGAACCTTAAATGCAATGTCTTTCCAGGCCCAAGTGAAAGTGAAATGAAAAGAGTCAAAGCTGCTTTATGTTTTGGCGAGAGCATTTATTTCTCTCCCCCACCCCCAAAAGATGCAATCCCTGGACCAGAGAGTTCAGGTGAAGGATACTTAAGGGTGCAAATGGTATTGTAAGACACAGAGGGGACAAGAAGCAATGCTTAGGCTTTGAAGGACCTTATCTTGCCTTCCTCTTTTTCCAAAGAAATGGGATAAAATTACTGTACTGAAAGGCTGGTCATCAGCTCCTGCCCTCCTGCAGGTGACTGATGCAGGATCATTGTGAGCTTCACTGACAGGATATCCCATAGCCAACGCGCCAGTGAGCCCTCCTGGCCTGCACTGTGTTTTCCTCACAAGTCTTCAGAGTGCCTCTGAATAGAAGGAACCAGTGCCTCAAATCTCCTCTTTCTTTCTTCCTTCTCCTTCCTTTCAACAATATTAAACTTAACATGATGGAGTTGTTTTTTTTTCTATCTTTGGATCAAAGCAGTCCCAGATTGTTGACCTGGAGGGGGAGGGAAAAGACTGGTTTGTAATCATTCATGATCATGATTTATTTTAGTAAGTCCTACTTTATTTAGTATCTAGAGTAAGAAGTATACTCTTATGGCTGAGCTGAACCTCGTGGCCTTAAATGTGTCCAACCATTGCATGCCAGATAGCTACTCAATTATATAAAGGTTCCTATAGATCTGCTTCATTCACTACATCCCTGTCATGTTCACTGAAGCCTTAGATATGACTTCCAATGTGTCACATTTGCTTTTGTAGAGTACATCTCACAAAGATCTTTCAAAGTTCATTGGAGCAAGCCAAAAAACAACCCAAACAGCCTATTACAAGAACGAGAACTAGCCGTTAACATTGAGACTAGCAGTTAACATTGCTATTTTCTTACCTATCTTATCTTAAAAATGGCTTCTACACACATCAGTGTTACTAACAAGCTGGTTTATGTTGACTACACAACATATACCACATTCAAATATTTTTTTTCCAGAGGAAAGTCAGAAGACAAGCTCACAAGTGGAAAGTAAGACTTTATATAGGGTAGAACTAACTTCTGTCCCAGAAATTGACAATTTGGGAACCTGTTCCTACATACAGTCTCTAAGAATATTGCCTATACCAGTCTCTTACTTGTTAGAATACATCACAGCATTCAGAAAAAGAGAAGGCATGATACTTAAGGTAATGGTATTTCTGTGTTGTCCCTTGAATACCGAGGCTGAACAACATTAACATGGCACAGGCCTACTCTTTTTGCTCTAGTAAGCAACATTAAAAAGTTTTCAAAATTGCAGAGTTGCTTGCTTTTTAAAAGTGTTGGAATATTGGCAGCTAGCGGGCAGTTCTCCTTCCCTTCCACCAGAGAACAGTAAATTTGCTGAAAAATTCCATTCTGATCATCCAAAACAATCTGTATCTTCACTGAAACTCATTGAATATTTTTGGTTGGAAAACAATTTTAATAGCTTCATGATGAGAGAACTCACAGCCATGATATGCGACAAATCAAGCTCCCTTCCATTTTTCAGCCTGGGAGGAAATCTCTCTCTCCCACATCCCCAGGGAGTGCCCTTATCACAAGTCTTTATGCTGGAACAAGCAGCTCTGTCTCTATCTATCACTGAAATTGTTGCACTGAAGCAGAACTGTCCTACCTCCCAAGTGAGTGCTTTAACCAGGAGACTGAACAACTGTTTTCATTTTCCAATAGTTTATGCAAAGTGCAATAGTCCCAGCTCAAAGGTTGAGAAAGACCCACCTCAGATTATATTGTAGGCTGAAGTTGAAGACACCCGTCTGCGAGGAAGACGACTTAAATTCAATCTGTGCCTGGCTTAAAAACAGAACTAACAGGTAAAAAGGGACAGCTACCATGATATCACTTCCTCTTCCAGCAGCATATGAATCTTGCCATTCATTTCCTTTGCTTTTCTTACACATGCCCAAAATAAAATATTGAGTTTAGGATTAATTGGAACCATTGGTGTCATATGAAATGAATTCCACATCGCTCCCCACAGGTTTTTGTTTCAGTGAGAAAAAAACACTGATTTTTAAATGTGGAGTTTTGGTTCAATTGCTAAACCAAAAAAAAAAAAAAAACGATTATGCACTCAGCCCTATGGACAGCACAGCTACAGTACAACCACAAACATATTGTATGATTCTTGATACTAGAAGTGACAAGACTGACTGAAGCTCTCAGATTTGCATTCAGGTTAAAAGCACAAGTGCTGAATGTGCATGAAAGAGCAGAAGAGTTATGAAAAAAGTTAACTGAAATAGGTAAAATTATAAAGCATTCAACTCACAGAGATGTGCTTTGCACTGTAGCACACCCCGCCTCCCCCCCCGCCCCACAGACATACACCTGCCATTAGCTATAAAGGCCACAGGATGCCACTGTTGCATTTCTTTTCCAGGAGGTCAAGATGAATTGAGAGGAAAAAAAAACAAACCTGTTCCTATGATCAACTTGTGGTTTTTTCCCACTAAATGAATCAGTGTTGCACCTCCAGATGACACCCAATGCAAACAGATTGGTGCGTCACAGTGCAAAATGTCACAGCAAGAAATAAAATATTTGGGTACCTTTTGGACTAAATGTGACTCCCATAATACGCACCAAAGTCAAAAGGAGTTGTATCCATCCATTCTCATGGGTGTTGGTCATGGCCATGTTGTTGAGGATGCAAAACAAACAACAAATATCTTCTGTTGTTGTCTTTTACCTGTTTCCAGGAGACAGAAGCAGAAAAGAGAGGAGATAAAAAGGAAAATGAAAGCAGACTGATGTGGAATTACATCTTCTAAAGCAGAGAGCATCTAAGAACACTATAAACCATTAAAAATCCATATATTCTGTCTTAATATGAAACTTTTTAATGTAAATATCTAGAATGTAATGTGTTCACACCGGGGGGGG